CCATACGGCTCCGATTTCGGAGTCCCCAGCTGGTAGTGGTTAAAGGTGGGGGGAAACCAAGAATACCGTGAGAACAACAGAATGGTGTAAATGTACATACCGGTATAGGGACTTGAAGCCCAATCCGCATATGGACTTGACTGGAAATCAAACCACTTTGCCAACTTTCGTTTTTAAAAAGTGCATGTACATGTACTTTAAAAAAGGTTCACTGTAGGAAAGACTAATATAGGTCAGTTTTCATTGTGGAAACCATAACAACCTGATGTTCCAGCTGCCTGAGAGCCTTTTTTTCCAGATATTGAATGTTTACAAATTCAATCATTGTCCTGAGCAACAAACAAAATGTATCAGTACTGCATTAGACAAGCATTTGGAAAATGTGCATGTACTGTACATGTAGCTAAAACCATTACATGTATAACAATAACCAGCTAGAACTTAAGTTACCTAAATTCAAATTCTCGAACTGACCTGTAGACTTTTTTAGATTTTTGATTGATGGACTTGATGAGTTTTATGTCTACTGTCACGATGTTGTGGAATAGGGTGTTGGCATTATTAGAAATAATTGAATCTGAAAGGGAAGGGCCATACCAGATCACTCTACGCATAGTATGTATTTGACATTTTGTCTTTTGTTATGAGAAATACAACAAATTTGTTCGCTGTTTCTTGCTTTGCACTGTGGCTTTTTTTCTGCACAACTGGATATAAACCAGAGTGGAGTCATTTTTGCATTGGATTTTGACAGAAAAGTACCAACTGTCACATGATTCTTAAAAAGGGTGTCAAGTGTGCAAACTATGGTCAGTGAATTCACGATAATTGATGTTTTTGTATTTTCTCCTCAGCTCCTCATCAGTTATGTTAATCCTAGACCTCTCTCATCCTAATGAACTATGGGTAACTATGGAGGTTTTACTCAAAGCTGCATTGAAGAGAATTGAAAAGGTCATGGACAAACTCTTAACGGCTAGTCCAAGAATCCATGAAGAAATCATGAATAGATCACGGAAACGGTTCGGAGATCATCCAGTAAGTACATATACTGTGTGCCCATAGTAGAACCTAGATTGCAACTAAGAGACTGTTTTGTTTGCTCAGTGCGAATACAATACATATACGTCAATGTATACTGGACCAACCTTACATACCTAGTACGGACTTGTGAACAAAAGATGTCCACACCATGTAGGAGAGAAAGACGTTTTGTGGACTTACACACGTCCACAGGACGTTTCACCTTCTCTGAAAAAGAAGTTTAGAGGCATTTGGGGTTGGGGTCATAAATGGAAGAGGAAAAGTCAAGAAAACCTTGCACAAAAAACAGCTGAAAATCGTGTTCCCAGTTGAAGAAAAATAAGTATTTTCACTGAGTTTTCTTAACTGCACGAAAAGATAGGAATGTCCACAGTAGGTATGTAAGGTAAGTGTGAGTGTGTGTTGGGGTTAAAATGGGCGTGGTGTAAACAGGATGTACTTGATGTTTGAAGCATCTCATGGTTGTAAAGTACTCAAATTTATTTGTCAGGGTGAAATCTCACTCTGTGAGACTTCTTTAAGTGAAAATAGTTCGATCATCAAAAATTTACCTCTCAAATTTTTTGTTTAATGTATTTTTCTAATTAAATATTCAAATTGTGCATTTTCAGTGTATAGTCTGCACTCTTCTGAATTTGGGAGTCTTGACCTGCCAGTCACTTACTACATGTACATATCAGAGTCAAATTTAATGATGGCCCGGTGGCTTATTTGCCCAGGCTTCTGAAGTTAAAATAAGGCCATCTTAATTGCAAATACCATTGCAAACATTCATATTTCAAAGGAAGGTCAAATAAACTATATTTTGACCTTTGATCACTCAGAGGCTGAAAAATGAATCTTCTCACATTTGCCAAAAGAAACTTGCAAGTGTACCCATTGTGGTTACAAAATATTACAGTTGAATCTCAGGGCGTCGAGCACAAAAATGTTTGACCATGTTAGCACATGTACATTTACATGTGTACACAAGTACCTAAGAGTCACTGTACAGTTTGATAGAGTTTGCCTTGACTTTTCTCCTTTAAATGTATCTCTCCCCACCCCATCCAAATGCTTTGAGATCCAGGTTTCACATGCTTTACAGGGAAGACAGATTAACTACAATCTGTAGATATTTGTGTTCATCCGTGAAACAGTTATAAACTGTTCATTCAGTGATAAGGTAAAGTAAAGACAGGCTGTCACAACACATTCAATAGAAACAGGAAGTGTGGAACTTAAGCAGAAAGGACTTTATATAAATCAGGTTGCAGTTACATAACTGTAGTCACTGAGTAAGGTGTCATCCCCAAAGCAACTTAGCATTCTTCCGCGTATTGTCCACGTATTTGTAATGGGTCTGACATTGTTACACAGGGGGAAATCCGCAGGGGTGTGTGCTGAAGCATGAGGGATTTATTGAGCCCGGCGGCCGTGTGCCCTTTTGTTATCGTTACAAAAAGCTTTGTGAATAAGCATGATTTCTCTGGACCTCATGAATACCAACAGCCGTTCTGCGGAAAAGACATTTCCCTATTTTCAGTATCAACATTTAGTAAAGTCAATGGGGTCATTACAGTCGTTAAGAAAAGTTTTGTCGAATTTCAGTTCGGGTTGGGACATCTACACGCATGTACATGTATCGTACATGCGCATGTGCAATGGTCAATGCACATTGAGACATATTTGGAGCTCGCTACAAACGTGCCGTAGTACTTCCGTGTATAAATGATACATTAATGCAAGTATTGAATCTCCTCCTCCATCCCATATTCATGAGCAACTTTTATTTCAACAGTTTTCACTTTTTTCCAAAGTTTATTTAAGTGTTAAAATTCCGTGGAATTCATCGAAGGCAGTGTGACATTGTGACCAAAACGGTTGTGTTTAAACCATGCTTGACTCAACAGAACGATCGGAGGATATGTGAAAACAGTAAAAACAGTATGCTCAAATGGTAATTTCCTGCTTTACTTAATCAAACTGGATTCCGAGTAAATTGTGTTCTGGTTATTTTTTTCACGAAATAGATTCAACTACCAAACTCATTTTCCATTTTTTTTATCAAGTTTTCTAAAGTCCATTCCATTTGCTATTAATTCCATGCCATATCAAAGTTGAACATCTAAACTGACCAGTGCATGTGGTTCGGTTTGGTTCAGTTCGAAAGTGCCATGTTCTATGATTTTGGCCTTGATCCGGTACTTTGGTTGCAGCACTAGCTGTCGCTCTCAAAAGGTTGTTTAGCTACTGGTCCCTTTTCTTTGTTCCTCAACATGATTGGGTGTTTGTTGGCAAATCCCATGCTCATAAAACTTTAAACTCGGAACAAACCTAGTAATTTCTAATGGCAGCATGTTTTCATGCTGTGACTCATTTTATGATTGTCAGACAGCTTTCTGCTGGGTTGTAAAGCCATAGGATTTGCAAGATCTCAAAAACAGGACTATCGAATTATTTTGAAATATCCTAATGTAAAGTAAGTACATAATAGTGTCAGATAATCTGTGAAATCTTACTGCCAGAAATCCTGTCATTTTCGAGAAATTTTTCCAAAGGTCTTCTGGATGGAAGATCTTTGAAAAATTTCATCAATTGCAACCGTTAGCTCCTGCTGTTGCAAGAGTATATATTAATGGGTCATGTGCAAAATGCCAACACGCCATCAATATGCCTGAAGTCATGATTAACTAATGAAATAGATAAATAACCATAATGAATGACCTAAAAGAGAATTTGGAATCGTCTGAAATTAAACTGTATTTATGAAACTTTGGAAATTTACTTCATGTAAATTATATTATCTTAATATCACCCCTCAAGGTAATGGTATGGTCCAAATCAATTATGATCTCTCCAGAGGATCTTCGGGGCCAGTGTTTCTCAAATAAAATCTCCAATATCGAGACATTTAGCTTTCTACTTTTCAAGTCACAGAAACTCACATGACCAAACCACAAGGATGCACGTACATTGTAGCTCCCACATTTGTTGATCTATAAAGTGTTTACGATGGGCGGTGCTGATGAACGTGTGAAAAGCGAACTGTACATGTATGCGCGTGTTCAATCGTGCATGTGTACATGTATGGTACGTTTGGTCGCGTAGTCACTGTGGTACTGCAGCAGTCAACTCACTGCTCGATGAATCGTTGTTTGACAATTTTCAGCGTTGCATTGTTGAAGATGAAACACGAAGTTTAAGGTAAATTCGCCAACCACAATTACCATGCAAAGCGAAGGAAAAGAATGTCTTTCTTAAGAGCCATAACTAGTCTGCAGATTGACCTCATCTGTTCAGCGAACTGTCCTGGCAGGCAGGAACGTGCTGTGATCCATGGTGTTTTGCAAGACCATTTAAACGAGCTGCGCTCTGAGTGTTAAAAATGAACAGCATTTTTGTCAATTTTTCACAGAGCAGTGTACTCAAAAGCTGAAACAAGTCCCTTGAATGATACACAGAGTAAGTCACAACCCCCAAATTGGTCAATTTTGGCAAATTGCAGTACATGCAAATCCTGTACAGTTTTCAAACATATGCATCCATTTCAGAATTCCCACCAGGGCAGCCAGCCAACTTCAGAAAAAAAGAAACTTGTGGCTTTCAAGTTGTTGGCTAATAGGCATTTTGTCTCGTTCTAACTGAAAGTCAACCAGTCGGTCAGTGGAAACTCGGCCGCATGCTAATTCATAGGGATTTGCCGTGCCAAAGATTGCCGGCCGATACACGGAAGATCGGGCATATTCCTGGGGTTGGTAATTTGCATAAAGCTTGCATGTTGCATTTCATCCGCAGATCCACTGGGTTGCTAACGGCTCTTTTGTTTGGCAGGGATTACCATGCTCTCTGTGATTGTGTGAAATGTCCACATCCTGGAATACATTGGCAATTTGGAGATGACGCCTAAATACAGTTGTTTTCATTGTCTTGAAAGCCACACAAACTTATATACATTTCATCTGTCCGTGGGTGATAGATGCAGTTAAACTGAGTTAATAATGCTTTTGGCATTTGCTGAAAACTTGATCAACTGCAGTGCACTCTCTAGTACAACAATACATTGTGGTGCTGCTGTCATGTTCATCCGTCTTTTTCAAAAGCATTTGAAGGTCTGAGCCACAGTGGGGAGGGGAGGGCAGACTGTTGGGATAGAGATTCTCTATTGGACTTGTCCCACATTTCTGTGGGGGAGGAATCCACTGTGTTAAGCCCACTTAAACAGTTGTAAATATGCAGAGTAGCACAGATCACAGTAGGAGGTTGGTGAGGACACACCAAACAAATCGTAAGTGTACCAGAGAGGAGGAACAGGTGAGCAATCATTCAAGTAATGGTAATTTGTGGGAACTCACCATGTGGTTCTGTGAAGTTGATTTGGCAGCAGTCTATCCTGGCAAAGAATTTATCCCTTTGGATCTACTGATGTGAGGGTTTTCTTGCCATGAACACAGTCCATCTGCAAGATGTCACTCGGGTGGCATGAGGTAAAGTTCGAGGGAGATTTCCAGCCGGCTGTATGGCATATGTCTGCAACTGGAACACTCTGAAAGTAGTTCCAGGAGCTAGAAATTGCTCTGATGTCATGTGCTTTGATGTGTTAGAGAGTTCAATTGTAAGGTGAGGTCAGCCAATTGAGGTTGGCAAATGTAATAGTTGAAACAGTCCATTGGGTGATTGTGTCCATGGATGCTAGGCGATGGGGTTTGACTGTTGTCACAAATAATTGTTAAGGGTTCTCCCTAATTTTGTGGGTTCGTGCCAAGTACCATTTGAGAGTCTTAACAGGGCACCAGAGTTTATCATTAGTCGTTCCTGAATGTGTGCAATGCTGGGGACGAAGATGTGTGGTAGTTTGAATGATGCGGTCTGGTTCTTCATGAGGAAATCCACAACTGAAATGAGTCGGACGCCATGTAGTTCTCTGTAGATGTGGCTGTCAATAGTGGATGTGCCTGAAGTTACTGGGTAACTGCCTATGCAAGATGTACACTACAGCTAGCAGGAAGGCCAGT